GGGGGGGGGGGGGGGGGGGGGGGGGGGGGGGGGGGGCATGTTGACGTTCCTGTGACGTTGCATATGTATGTATATTTCTGTGCATGTGAATATTTTTTCTCGGCAAAACAGTTTTCATTACTGTGTGAGCATTGCTGCCTTCACGATGCATTTCATGTTTTTTAAACCTGTTTCGAGCGGTGGCATGTTCTGGAATGTTTGTGCGCGGATAAATTGTTTCTTGCTGCTGGTTGCGGCTCTCAGGATGAATCAGTTTTTCTGCATTGCACTGTGCCTCACTTATATTCTTCTCTTGCGGATCGCCCGTTTTCCACGTCCTCTCATTTCAGGTTTCGAATCTGTTCTCGAGGTTTTGTGGGAATCTCCCATCCTCTGGTTGGACGACTTTGTGAAAAGGTTCCGATCGAATCGGTGAACATGTGTGTTTTCTCAGGTTTTTTCGTGTTTCAAGCGAATTTTGCTCCAAGTTTTGGACACAGAATTTCCGATTTACAAGAGGTTCCAAACCCTCCTTTCCATTGTTTTTTGCAGTGGATTTGCAACACCTCTGAAGTTGGCGTGCTAAAACGCACGCGCGGTTTTAGATCCGCCGGGTTGTTTATGATCAACTCCAGCAAAATGGGGCCATTGACTTGTATAGGGCATAGGGAAAATCAGAAATCACCTCACCAGGTTTCAGCTCGGTTGCATGGCTGCTATTGGACTCACCAGTCACTAGAACTGGTCCAAGCGAATCTTCACTAGGATGGAATTGGTAGGTGATACTCCCAAGTCATAAAGGTTCAACTGTGATCCCACCAACCGAAATACGCACACCTTGAGCCTTGACTGCCCTGTGGCCCCGTGGCCTCCTAAAAGACATGACCAGGACCTCCCGTTGCAAGCAGCAAACCTTTTCGGACCACCTGGGGGAGGGCCCCTGCCGATCTGCACACCGCCCCTGCGCCTCTCCGGTCCGCGCCCCGGAAACGCGCTGCTGGCCGTCGCTGTGGCCGCCAGGCGCGCCAGCGGCGGCCGGCGGCGGCTCACGATGGGGGAGCCGTCCACGTGGCCTTCCACGAGCGCGTTGGGCAGCCATGCCTGAAGTCTGAAGGAAGAGAGGGGGGTTCACCCTGGGATTCAAAACCACCATTGTTTGGTCTGAATATCGAAGAACCATTGTTTTCTGTTACTAAGGATTTTGCCACTACAAAACCAAGAACTTCCCATTTTGGAAATGGTCCAACGGACTCCCAGGGTTCATATAGAGTCTTGTACTTCGAGGGAATCAGCCGTAATCATCAGAGAAATGGTGTTTCTATGTGTTTCTATGTGTTTCTTGATTCATTTGGGCACTCAAGTGACATCCCCCCCCAGCTCCTCACCTACAATACATGCTCTTCGTTTCCATATGAACGCTCTTATTTTCCACTTGCTCGCTCTCTCGCTCTTCCCATCCACCACGGTACCGACACCAGCACGGCCGCAGGCACCGCGGCGCTGAAGCGGAAGCGCCAGCGCTGCGCCCGCCAGGCCGCGGCCGTCCCACCGGGAAGCGCGCCGCCGTGGAACGCGCTGCGCGCGTCGAGCGTGATGCCGGACGTGCCGCAGGTCCACCTCACTGCCACGGAACCGGCCGCGGCACCGCGTTCTCCGCGCGAACTGGAGCGAGAAAAAAGGAAGAAGAACGACGCGGAACCGTGAGCTCGCCCAGGCGTTTTTGGCTTGTTCGGCGATTCTCCGGGCCAAAGCTCGAAGCGGAGCGACCGCTTTTTCCGCTTCATGGAAGAAAAGGGAGGTCAAGAGCTGCGGTTTCATGGTTCGAAGAGGAGTCGCCAGAGGACCGAGCGATCTATTGAGAAACTGATTTTGATGTTTGGACAACATCGAGCATCTTTCTGTGTTTAATGGATGTTTGTGGATGTTGGTCTTGGACGGCTAAGGGAGGATAACTGGATACGCATCGTTGATACTTTGAGCCACTCGGTCTACTTTGAGATCACCTCTGGATGGGTTGTACGCATCGTTGAACAAACAGTTCGCCTCCATGCAACGTGCCCGAAGCTTTCGAAGGTGTTATGCTACCTGAGCCCCGACGCCGCCCCAACGTGCTGAGATGCCGAGCAACATAGATCCGTCACTCGCACCTGATCCGTGGCCACCGCACTGGCCCAACATGCTTGAATGTCCAACGTGGTGGGACATGTCTTAAGAAACCAACTCCTTTGGAAAGGCTGAACAAACTTGGCTGGCCAAGTTTTGACAGGTATACGGTATAGTCACACCTTTCTTGGGGGTCTGATCTCTCAATGACCCTTTGGAAGGCCACTTCATAAGCCTCTACTAAGGCAGTCACGTAAGAAGCGCTTCAGCTGGACCCCCCCTCTCTCGGCCGATTGAGGCGAGACAAGGCGCCACATGCCACGAAAGGGCCTCCCTCTTTGCTTGCCACCGCCACCAGCTGTGCCGGCGGCGACAACAGCAGGTGTGAGCGCAGCGAGACTCCCTGAAAGTTCAAGTCCTCGGCCGGTTCGAGGAATTGCACGCTTAAGCTTCACTGGGCAAAACAAGAGAAAGACTGCACCCTGTAAAGTGATTTCGAACAACGCATCAATGTCGTGTACAAGTGGTTTCTCATTGTCGTCTAACTGTTCCCTAGACTTCCAAGACCATTAATGGTGACCTGGTTTTGTAGTGTAAAAACACTAGTTGGTTCGGGATTCAGCCTAAAAATGGTGTGGTTGGAAGCCAAACGGGTGTTCGTATTTCACTCTCCAAATACCAGCAAAGATCGCCTGGATGGAGCCACTGTGTCTTGGAACCTGTGGAACATCCGGTCTTGATCATGTTCTGGCGATGTTCTTCCAACATGCTTGACCTGGTACTTAACAAGGTACTTTTACCACCTCTATCTCATGCAACCACCCCATAAATCATCATAGATCGCGGGTCAGAGCTCTAGTATCTCTATGTCAAATGCATTGGACATCATTCCAAAACTGTTGGGTCTACGATGTCCAAGGCTCCCAAAGCCCCGGGACGCCAGTGCCATCGCTGGACGCCGACTCGACGGTGGATGCGTCCGCAGGCGCCGGCGGCGCGGGCGCGGCCCGGCGCCATCGGCCGTGACGGTCCGAGTGGGGCAAGCCCGAGGACCTTCGAATGGGTCGATCGAAGCGTCCGGAGATGACAGGGCGTGAGCTCTCTCGTCCAGTTGGACGATTCTTGGCACCCAAGTAAAGGACATTCCAAACCTTCGGATCACCTAAAGAGCGTATTGTTTTTTGTTTTTGTTATGGTCTTGGACTCCCAGGGTACACAAGCTATGCTAACACCTCTCGCTGAGACGCTTTGGTCACAGGGATCTCGGGTAGTTGGTCCACTTTGATCCATTTCTGCTTGGAATGAGCAGAGAAATCTGTTGCGTGGAGAAATGATCTTTCATGGCCTCCAACCTAATAGCACAATGCTTTTCATGTTCAAATCCATTTGAGTGATTCATCCATGGATCTCTGGTCTCGTCATGCGAGGGATTCTTGTGAAGTCTTGACAGCACCCTAGAACACCTGGATCTGGTCCTCCCTAGATCACTCCTGGCGCCTCTCCCTTAGGAATAAGAACATTGAAAGGGCTGGGAGTCTGAGGGCCATCAAGGGCTGTGGTCCCTGGTCTTCTCTCCAAGCTTTATCCTCCAGCTCCGCTGGATAAAGACAGTAGCAGCATGTAGCAGCTAAGCAATCAACATGGACCAGTCGAAGGGGCCTTCCTGTTCATTGCCTGATTAGCAGATGCTACACATTCAAGTGGCCAAGCAGCCAACCATTTGCCATCCCATCCGGCTGTGCCCCATTTCTCAGATCCAAGGTGCAAGAAGTAGGTGAAGTAGAGGCAGCAAAGCCCACAGAAGATTCTGAGTGCGAGCCGGGACCGATCATAGACCGGCACACACAACGACGTCGGAGGCGGGGACAACCTTCCTTGGATCCAGACACGTTCGAAGGGCTGACAAATGAATTAAGGGTGGAAAACCCCTCAGGGGCGACGTGGATGGCATGGTCCCGAAAGGAAGGTCACGTTTTCCTCTACAAACAGGGGGGTAGTGTCACCCTACATAAACCCACTTCCATGGTTATTACCAGGGAGAGTAGTTGTTCAGTGACACTGCCCATGCAACAACTGCCCAACATCCAACGGCTCGACGCAGACGACGCGACGACGCTCCCGGAGCACGTTCTGAGTCGACCACTGGACCGGACCCTCGGTGGGTATACCTGACCCCGAGTAGGTCCAAGACCCTTTCAGCTGAGCCATTCCTCGTTTGGTGCCTCTTGAAGGGGGCGGCTAGAGTTATATAACTATCCCTTCTTTTGCTGCCTGCTGAACCAAGTTTTCTCTGCGTGGCTT